GACAAGTGTTGTCTATTTATTTTATGTAAATTCTTTTCATAACGTTTGATAAGCTTAATAACATTATCATTAAACGAAGAAAGAAAATCACAATATTGATCCATATATTTTTTTAATCCAATCTAAGCTTTCGGCTTACATAAACCATTATCAAATATGTCAATTACTGTAAATGTCCTGTTTGTTACTGTTAAGGTTGTTCAATTTTTCCTTGGCTATTTCAATTTGCCTTTTCACAAGGCTACTTTTATAATTTCAAGTATTGATAGTATTGTGGGCTGCTGGATCATGTAATTTAAATGAAAAACACACACACACACACACACACACACACACACACACACACACACACACACATATATATATGTGTGTGTGTGTGTCTGCGCGTGTGTGTGTGTGCCTCTGTGTGTGTGTGTATATAAATATATATATATATATGGTAAAGTATAGGTTTAACGTATTCTATATTTATTGGTTAAAGTGCACAATATCAGGGATAGAGCTTATACAAATATAAAAATGGACATTGAAGTCAACACCCAGTGTTGACGGTCTGTTTCATGCTTATACGCAATCGTCAGGTTATACATTTATGGGCGGATTCCTCACAACAAAACAAAATCTATATAAACATGTCCTTAAATACTTCGGTTTTGACTTATTAAGATGGCTCTGTGTGGCTAGGTAGACTAGGTTACATTTGTTCATTCGTGTACATTTGTGGCTAGTCTGTCTTCAACGTTTAATTTGTTTAGTAGTGAGTTAACTGAGAAGTGTTACGTTTAACAATGGCAGGTTATTCATATCTGGAGAAGGCAGATATTATTGTTACCTAAGGCTGTATCAAAATGCGTTTCCAGGCCAAAAGCAGCCGGATATGCTACGGGCGGCGTCGAAGAATATTGGTAATTTGGTTACTTTTTAAGAGTAGCTATTTTCACTTTAACTCTCAACATGTAATTTGTGATGATGCGTGTTTCAGAATGATTTGAAGTATGTATATATTCATGTCAGCATCACACAAGTTCCATAGCCCATTAGAGACATAAGGTTACCACATGTACTAACAGCATAACAGCAGTAGTGAGTCCTGGGCAATCTGGCAGAGTGCAGCCCTCTTCATCATAGCTTTATGTCTTCCAAAAATCCTAAGGCTTATTCGGCGTTTTAGTCGTTGTTTTTTTGGGGTTTCTTTTTACCCAGATATACAACATCAGCCACTTGATCAATTATTTTCCTGTTTAATTGGATGTAACGTTTTGCCTTGCCTGTTGCCGTTAAAATAGTCGCCTTGGGCACATCGAAGCGGTGTAATAGTTAGCAAGCTTGTCTAGCTAGAACAATTATGATTGAGTAGTGAGTTCGATCCTCACTTTGTGCTCCACACTTTTGGCCTTGTGCCACATATATGCTACTCTTTGAAAATCATTTGGGCACTTAAACGTGGACTAATGGTTGTCTCGCTAGATGAATTACGATTTCGGTTCTCACTGGGTGCTCCACACTTTCGGCCTTGTGCCATATCTAAGCTACTCTTTGAAAATCATTTGGGCACTTAAACGTGGAGTAATGGTTGTCTCGTTAGATCAATTACGATTGATTAGTCAGTTCGATCCTCAGTGGCTGGTTCACACTTTCGGCCTGGTGCCACATCTAAGCTACTCTTGGAAAATCATTTAACACAGTCGTCTTGAAGCTTAATTCCACACCTATGTTTTTTCCGCTATGGGACATGTTTGGCATCACTCTCCGTGACAGGAAGAGCAACACCTGGATTCGACAGCAGACAAGAGTGAGAATATATATCGAATAGATATCAGGACCATCAAAAAAGGAAAACATAGATGGGTTAGCCACGTCTTTCGTCTCAGAGGCAACAGGTAGACAATTAGAGTGGTGGAATGGACACCAAGGTAGTGGAAAAGAAATCGAAGGTCGCCAAAGGCAAGATGGCACAACGGTCTGACACGATACGCCAGCTCTACATGGCCCCAGTATAAGTGGTGGAGGTTAACTAGGTTGTGGCTCCTTCAACAAGATTGAGATTGGGTATGATCCTCAACAGGTGCCACATACACACTTCAATATTAAATAAACGATAATGGATGAAACCAGCAAATCAAACAACCAACAATAAGCATCAAGCAATAGTCAGACTGATATATATATATATATAGAGAGAGAGAGAGAGGAGAGAGAGAGAGAGGGGGAGAGAGAGAGAGAGGGAGAGAGATTGAGATAGAAAGAAAGAAAATAGACTGAGGCAGATAATTAGATAGATAGAAAGAAAAAAATGGACTGCGGTAGATTGAGATACAAAGAAAGAAAAGAGACTGAGATAGATAGATAGATAGATAGATAGATAGATAGATAGATAGATAGATATCAGTAAACTGACAATGGTAGATATGAACAAGATGAAATAAATAGATAGATAGATAAATAGATATGAACAGAGGGTGAAAGATAGATAGATAGATAGATAGATAGATAGAATAGATATGAACAGGATGAGATAGATAGATAGATAGATAGATAGATAGATAGATAGATAGATAGATAGATAGATAGATAATGAACAGACTGAGATAGATAGATAGATAGATAGATAGATAGATAGATAGATAGATAGATAGATATGAACAGGATGAGAGATAGATAGATAGATAGATAGATAGATAGATAGATAGATAGATAGAATGAACAGGATGAGATAGATAGATAGATAGATAGATAGATAGATAGATAGATAGATAGATAGATATGAACAGGATGAGATAGATAGATAGATGATAGATAGATAGATATGAACAGGATGAGATAGATAGATAGATATGAACAGGATGAGATAGATAGATAGATAGATAGATAGATAGATAGATAGATAGATAGATATGAACAGGATGAGATAGATAGATAGATAGATAGATAGATAGATAGATAGATAGATATGAACAGGATGAGATAGATAGATAGATAGATAGATAGATAGATAGATAGATAGATAGATAGATATGAACAGGATGAGATAGATAGATAGATGGATGGATGAGATATAAAACAGACTGAGAGGATAGAAAAAAAGAAAGAGAGACTAAGAAAGAAGAAAGAAAGATGGATAGAGATAGATATATCTGTCTGTTTTATATCTGACTGAGATACAAAGAAAGAAAGAAAGAAAAGTGATAAGAAAGAAAAAAAAAAGAAAGAGAAATATATATATATATATATATAGTATATATATATATATATAGATATAGGATAGATAGATAGATAGATAGATAGATAGATAGATAGATAAAATATTAAACAAACTGAAAAGAAAGAAAGAAAAGAGAAAGAAAAGGAAAAGAAGAGAATGAGATAGATAGATAGATAGATAATAGATGAATAATGAACAGACTGAAATAGATAGATAGATAGATAGATATATGAATAGATAGATAATGAACAGACTGAAATAGATAGATAGAAAGATAGATAGAAGAAGATAGATGATAGATAGATAATATGAAAAAATGAGAGATAGATAGATAGATAGATAGATATATAGATAGATAGATAGATAGATATGAATAGGATGAGATATATATAGATAGATAGATAGATAGATAGATAGAATAGATAAGATAGATAGATAGATAAATATTGAACAGGATGAGAAAAAGAAAATAGATAGATAGATATAAAACAGACTGAGATACAAAGGAAAGAAAGAGACTAAGAAGAAAGAAAAGAATAGATAGATAGATAGATAGATAGATATCTGTCTGTTTTATATCTGAAAGATACAAAGAAAGAAAAAGATAGAAAGATAAGAAAGAAAAAAAAATGAAAGACTGTCTGATATATATATATATATATATATATATAGATAGATAGATAGATAGATAGATAGATAGATAGATAATAGAAATGAGAGTTAGATAGATAAATATTAAACAAACTGATAAATAAATAGATAGATAGAGAAAGAAAAGGAAAGAGAGATAGAATAGATAGATAGATAGATAGATAGATAGATAGATAGATAGATGAATAGGATGAGATAGATGAAGAAAAGAGACCGGGTTAGATAGATAAAAATTAAACAACTTGAGAAAGAAAGAAAAGAAAGAAAAGAGACTAAGAAAGAAAGAAAGAAAAGAGAGTGAGATAGATAGATAGATAGATATATCTGTCTGTTTTATATCTGACTGAGATACAAAGAAAGAAAGAAAGAAAAGTGACTAAGAAAGAAAAAAAGAAAGAAAAGTGTACTGATATATATATATATATATATATATATATATATATATATAGATAGATAGATAGATAGAAAAGATAACGAGTTAGATAGATAAATATTAAACAAACTGAGAAAGAAAAAAAGAAAGAAAGAAAGAAAGAAAGAAAGAAAGAAAAGAGAAGAGAATGAGATAGATAGATAGATAGAAAAGAGACCGGGTTAGATAGACAAATATTAAACAACCTGAGAAAGAAAGAAAGAAAGAGAGAAAGTAAGAAAAGAAAAGAGAATGAGATAGATAGATAGATAGATAGATAGATAGATAGATAGATAGATAGATAGATACGGATTCAACTATCATTGTACAGAGGAGCATTATTAGTGTCAACATTGCGCAAACGTTTCTCTTGGTTGTCGTCTATTTTGAAGAATGATAAAAAAAAATCAACATTCTTCTTTCCTCTTTCTTTCTAATACCTTGTCTAAGAGTTTTTTGGGGTTTTTTTATTATCAATAATCATTTCATCCCAAGAAAGGTGGTTCATTACTGGACAATAGAATCTCAAATTCTTGAAGGGTAGCCTTGAGTTGGTACATGTAAGTTCTTTTTCGGCTACACATTCTTTTGGGATTTCAGAATAAAGGATTTCCTTCGGGATTCTTTCATACTCCATTCGGAGCGAATTCTTGTCGATAATTTGACTACAAGTATTTAACTTGTAATTAAACGGGACCCATCATTAAATGGAGCGAATCATGTTCATCATCTTAAAGAAGAGCTACACCTGGATTCAGCTGCACACGGGAGACCACAAAGAAGAGAAAAATAGATGCCCTGGACTCATTTCTCTCGTCTCAGAGACAACAGGTGAACTATTAAAGGGACAGAATGGACACCGAGGCAGTGGAAGAGACCTAAAGGTTGACCAAATGCCAGATGGCACGACGATCTGACCTAATATCTCGGCCCCACATGGTCCAGTATGGACAGAGATAGGAAGTGATAGAGGTCAGTCAATGAGTGAAAGATATAATCGAGATCATCAAGAAGGGCCGGCCATGTCTCTTGTCTCAGGGACAACAGGTAAACTATTAAAACGACAGAGTGAACACCAACGCAGTGGTGGAAAAGAACTAAGGGGCGACTATAGGCGAGATAGAGCCACGATCTGATTCGGTAACTCAGTCCCACATGGTCCAGTTTGGCCAGAGAAATGGTGGAGGTCAACCGGGAACAAGTGAGAAGGCTTTGGAGTTTAAATTTCGGATGGAAAAGATGCTTCAAAAATAAGTGCAACTCTCTTAGATTTGTTAGGGTTGCATCATTTCCATAATGTAATAATACAAAAGGTGATTGTTTCCCTTTGGTGGAGATGAAATCACGTGGGTTGGGTGACCGCCACTTAGTGACATCACTACATAGTGACGAAAGTGTCAATCAAAGGAGTCAAACAAAGGAGTATTGGCTTTCTTGGTTACAGGCATCTCGGTCTGAGCTGAAGCTAAATCTTACTCTTCCAGCATGTAGTGCAGTTTACAAGCCTATGGCGCTGTTTTCCTATAGAAAGATATGATCAGAAACTATCTCCGATTCACAGTCTTTTTTTTTTTGGAAAAAAACCAAGAATCGTGGTTTCCCGTTTGTGGAATATGTCTTCGATATCGACATAGCAGATACATTCAACCTGCACGAATCTGGAATCCTAAGTATGACTTTTCCAGAAACACAACTGAATCTCCATATTTTATGTAAGACTCTATCTTTTAATTCTTCTTTCACTCTGCTTGTTTTGTAGATATATGCTATAGTTTCTCTGCGTGGGACACACGTGTAAATGTGTATATATATAATTTGTGTATGAATTAGCGGCACAAAACTCTCTCTTCCTTTCAGCCACTCCGTTCAGTCCGTGAAATACGGTGTTATGGATATAATAAGGCCCGTTATGGGGGAAACACCTATTTACATTATATACTGGCATAAGGTCACAAAAATACATAAATGAAACTACAACGAATTTAAATAAAAGAATATATGTAGACAAGAGTTGTTTTTACTAAACAACACATTCAGTAAATTAGTTGTTAATCTGACTATAATTTCGACTTAAAAATACTGCTTTAATTAAATTAACACTGGAGTTTGAACACAGATCACCAGAGAGCAAACACAGGCGATCCTATTTTGAATAAGTAGATCACGTGATGGTAAAGGAAATGTATATATTGGAATTAGCGTGGCGTCTGAGTGTTCACTCTCCGAATTACTTCGGAGATGTGCTTGTCGAACTCTCTGCCACTGGATAGAGAGGAACCCAGACGAGGCTGTGCCAAAGGGCAGAGTCTCGTCTGGGGTGGTAGACAGCTACCCGACTCCGTTATTTACGCGGTCTACGGGGAATTTTTGCCCGAATTTACGGGCTCGGATACCCCACAATAAACTTGGCCCTGTACCACATCCGACCGCGTAGAGCAGTTAGTGAATATCATCACTGTTCGGATCGCTATTCGGTGTTTACTTTTCGAGCGAGTATTATAGAGCAAGTACTATTAGTGCGTGTGTTATTCGAAGGCGTCTGACACCAGTATTGTTCAACGGCGTTAATATAGTTTTATCTGCGATTACAAAGTCTCTACTACAATGAGCATTTACGAAAGGTACAACGAGTATTCTTTGACATTACCAAAGTGGCAACGAGTGTTCATTGACATCAGAAAAATAGAAAGTAATTTGTTAAGGCGCAAATATATAATATACAGGGTGTTTCAAAAAGAATACGCCAAAATCATTACGCTGTTTTTTCAGGTCTATAGCATTGTAGTGGACTGAATCAGTGGTTATTTGATAGAATAGTTATCAAAGTTTGATTGGGTGTCAGTTTCACCGCTGTCGTTAGTATAACTTCCGGTGAAGCTGAATTGTGGGAAGATCAATTAAAATGGTGACTCCTCAGCAGAAGGCGTTTTGCGTGCTTGAGTTCGCGAAAACGAACGCCATTGTCACGGTGCAGCGTGCTTTCAGAACAGAATTCGGCATTGATCCGCCCCATCGTGAGAGCATTCGACGGGGGGGGGTAGACAGTTTAAAGAGGGTGGGTGCCTGTGCAAAGGAAAGAGTCCTGGAAGACCACGTGTTACAGAGGAGCAAGTGGAGAGGATTCATGATGCATTTGAAAGCAGCCCACGTAAGTCCGTATGTCGGGCAAGTCTTCAGCTTGCCATCCCTCATACCACTCTCTGGCGTGTGTTAAAGAGACGATTACACATGAAACCATACAAACTAAGCCTCGTCCAAGCATTTACTAATGATGACAAGGTGATGCGCAGGACATTCTGCTGGAATCAATGCTGGAGACGGAGGAAGGTGATGAAACTGCCTTTTCATGTTTAGTTTTTAGTGACGAAACGAATTTCCATTTTGAGAGGCACAGTCAATCGTCACAATGTGCGCATTTGGGAAACAGAGCACCCACATGAAACTGTTGAGCATGAAAGAGATTCCCCTAAAGTGAACGTCTTCTGTGCTGTGTCTCAAGACAAGGTCTATGGTCCCTTTTTCTTTGAAGGAAACACCATTACAGGACAAACCTATCTCGAAATGCTCCAAAAATGGCTATTCACTTTACTGCAAGCAGATTCGAATGACTTCATTTTTCAGCAAGATGGAGCACTATCCCATTGTCATCTCGGGGTTAGAGGTTATCTGAATGAAAACGTGTCTCAGCGATGGATTGGGAGGAGAGGTGCTAAAGACCTTGCTCTCTGTGCTTGGCCTGCCAGATCCCCGGACCTCACTGTGTGTGACTTTTTCTTCTGGGGGTATGTTAAAGACCAAGTTTATGTTCCAGCACTTCCAGCAAGTATCGATGACTTGAAAGATCGAATAACATCTGCAATCAACACGGTGGACCGTGACATGCTGAGGCGCGTTTGGGAGGAATTCTTATATCGGCTTGATGTTGTCTACGCTGCCGGTGGTGGCCACATTGAGCACTTATAAAACATGAAATGAAACTTGAATGCATATACAACACATGTGTTCATGCTAGAGGTTTGTAATTTTTTTCGTTTTTGAGACATCACGTGATGATTTTGGCGTATTATTTTTGAAACACCCTGTATAGTAAATGCACTGATTTTCGACTGCTTTACGGTTATTTCTTTGCCCAGGTTTAGCACCCTCTTTGGTTGAATCGAAAAAACAAAAAAACAAAAAAAAAACGGCTCTCTCCAACATCAAATTTTATAGCCGCCCAGGAAATTTCGGCTAGTTACACTTTTCAAATGTACAGCGGGACACTATTTACATTATTCGGACTATTGTCCTCATCTTTGTCGCCATATTTCTTACAAAGTTTCGACCGTTGTACGCTACGGCCTTCTTCAGGTGGTTGGCATGTCGAACTGAAACCTTTATTTCGCTCACTGAGGTAGACTGTTCTAGTTCCACGTGCCATGTTTAATGGATGTCAGTTATTAGTTATTTTCCTGTTAATTCCCCTCCACAAGTTCTCCACTGCCATAACCGGGTATTGAACTCACACTCTTTGGGTCCTGTCCCTGGATCAAACTAACGCATTTATCCACTGTGCCATGTGTCCTTGAGGACATCCATATGGCAGAGTGGATAAAGGCGTTGGTTAGATCCACTGATTTAATAAAATCAAACAACCTAACCTGATATTGCTACCGATTAGAGTTTGATCCTCACTGGGTGCCTCATACAAAATTCGACCTTAAATACCCAACCAAAGTTTGACATGTCGTAAAACAAACCGAACCTAACAATACTACTGAGTAGTCAGTCTGATCCTCACTGGGTGCCGCATACACAAATTAATTCCATTGTTTTTTAGAATTTTCTTTCCCTTAGACTGTTTGCCAACCAAGGCGCAGTCTATTCTACTATTTTATTCATAGCTGTAGTTAGAGACAGATTCAAGTCTTTTTTTTTTTTGGAAAAAAACCAAGAATCGTGGTTTCCCGTTTGTGGAATATGTCTTCGATATCGACATAGCAGATACATTCAACCTGCACGAATTATTATGGCGAAAGAGACCTTTCGCACGAAGGCATTATGGCGAAAGAGACCTTTCAGGAATTTGAACTTGGATTAGTTAGCAGCATTAAAAAGATATAATTTCAAGAACAACGATTGATTGATTTGTTTTTTACAGTTTGTCAACCTTTTGCAGGTTATTTAAGGTCAACAAATATTTAAACTGATGCCCCATTTTTGCACACTGTAGTTGCAGTATTTGGAGAATGCAAATAACTCCGTGTAGATAATCATTATTTCATTTACTGAGTGATTCGTTTTTATCTACGGCTTATCAACCTTTTGTAGATTATATAAAGCCAGAAAATATGTTTAGA